ATCTAGGTGTTGATATTTCAAATTGAACAACTTATCCGTACCGGTATTATTAATGAAAGTATACCTACCTGGAAGATTTCCCTGATGTACAGACGCTGATGTCGTGCCTCCACACCGATCCTCTTCTGGATTGTTTCTTTGAGAGATGAGACGAATGTCTCGGGATGGAGTTCGAAATACAGTGTCTTGGATTGATGTGAGGAGGGAGTCCGGACAAAGACCTGCAGTTTCTGTTTTACGTCTTTGGTATTACTGTGAAAATAGGGGAGAAATCATGTGTAGTTTTAGAAATGCCTTATTCTAAAATAGAACGAGATCGACGAAGTATTCATATGGAAACTATATTCAGCGTCTCCTGTCACAGTCATTAGTCTTTAAATGGTGTTGCACAATTTCCCTGAACTTTTGAGTATCCGGAAAAAGTCAAAGATCATATTACTGTAAAACAGAGAGAAAAACTGTTTAGTTTGAGAAATGCATAATTCTAGTTTTAGAAATGCATTTTCTAAAATAGAACGGGATCTGTGAACAATTCATAATGAAACTAAAGTCAAAGTCACATCCACTGTCATGAGTCTATGAACAGTATTGCACAAGTTCACTCCAGTAGCTGAAAGCGTTAATGATTCAACAAATCCTTCGACATTAAGCTACAATTATGACCCTCATTTGAAATGAATCACAGTCATTGCTGTTTACCTCTGACTTTTATGTGTCTGCTTTGATTGTCTTCAGGTCCATTGTGTCGATGGTCTCCTTTTTCAAGGAAAAAACCGACTGGCGTTTACCACAGTAATCGTCGATAGTTCAGTAGTTTCTAGAAATGGTTTGGCGTGGTGAGCAAAGGAAAATATCTCCTTTTTTTGCTCAGGTTTGTACGTTAAACCGACCACAACAACTGCGAGGTCACATTAAATTATATTTGTGTGGCTGGATTTTTCTTTCAGGAAGATGTTTTAAGAAAAAAAGCTTTTCCTTCAAAGGTTTACTTTTTGGTTTTTGCGTAATGAGAAGGCGGGTTGTCTATACAGAATCACAGAGAAAATCGCCCTCTTCCTGAATCCAAATCCTGAATGGTCTTTCGCAGCATTTTGGTATTTGCCGAGTCGAAGGAAGGTGTAAAGTTCACTCGCAGAGAGGGAAATTAACTAGAAGTTGTCTATGTGCTGGCGTTAATTGCCCTACTGCGATGGATTGTATGTAAATCAGATAAACGCCCCTCTAAGTAAACACAATAGATAATAAGAACTGTAACTCGAGATACGCATAACTATTTTCGTTTTGATAATGAACTCTTGCAAGGTAACACAGACTACGTCTGACCTGATTTTGTTTCAATTGGTTTGTACATAACGACTTCGTCTCTGACTTCAGAATAATTCTTGGAGTTTCTACTTTCACAACCAAATGGATATTCTTCAAACGTTGGCTTCGTGTGTGAAACAAATAGAAATAGCAAACAGGTTCACAGTGAATAAATATATCTTACTTGCTTGAAGAATATGAGTTATACTAGTTTTTTTAAATTTTATTGATGTATTTATGCACTATGTATATCTGTATTTGTGTAGCTTTTACATTCGTGCTTGTTTGTGTTTTTAAATTCCCACATTGGGACAGTAAACTTTGATTTTATTGTACTGTATTGAAGCAGTACGGATACGGATTCCTCTTAGTCAGGGACCTCAAATTCTCCCGAAGCCAAAACAGAACCGAAGCCGTGCCCTTGAAACCCCTTTTTATTTGGCTTTATCCAGCCAGCGGCATCAGACTATGTAAACAATCGCATAAACGACGTAAACACTTCAGTTGTGGACCTTTGATACATGGCGTGATATTCAAGATAACAGTCAGTAAGCTCTTGGGGACAGATACTCATTGTTGGGTACAATCTTTAAGACTCTCAGGTTACGGTAGCATGCCCTCAGAGCAGAAAATCATTCCAATAAGGAAGTTGCTTTTCCCGTGCTATTTTGGCATTCCAGCCCGGAGGCATTACATGTAACGCATCGGAAGAAAAAAGGTGACATTTTGTTGTGGAATAATTACCAAATTTTTACAACTTAGCCGTGTTTCTTTTGTTTTCCAGCAGGGACCATTATTGTGTAATTTAGTTATAAAAATAATTCTTAACAAAGTAAGTAACGGTACTTAACTTCTTTAATGAACGGTATTTTTACATTTATTTTACATAGAACATGGCGTTTATGTAGCGCCCTCACTCATTCAATATGGCCGATTCTTTGTCAACACTACTTTATACGACCCATTCCTTATATTTGTCAACTATGCTTTATATGACCGCTTCTTTGCTTGTCAATTACACTTACACATACTAAGTGCACAACTGACGCCGATGCATGCTCACCCTCACTCACAACTGGATTTTAAACAGACAGAGACCAACAAATTCAAACAATAAGTGAGGAAATAAGAACAATATGGCATATTGGCTGATACAGAGCCTTTGTATCCCTTGCAGGATTTTCAAGGTTGAGTTGAATGCTTTCAAACCTTTTACAGTGAACCATGTTTGCAAATAAGTTAGGAAAACTGTTTGTGCCATTTCATCAGGTATTAACCAAAATTGGCATGTCTGTTTAGGGGGCAAAAAGAAAGCGACTTGGACTGATGTTTTGCCCCTTGAAAATAATTGCATTTGATACACCAACATGTTTAAATGTGTTATTCAATTTGATAAATCAACATGCTTATGTTATTAAACGAGCATATTCTTCCGTTCGGGCGCAAAAAGAAAGAATTAATGAAATCGACCCATGTTTTAAGAAGTTATGCATATTTTGCTAAAAAAAAACCAGTTTACTACTACATAGAAGTTACTCAGCTGAGTGAGAACCAGCGATTACACACATGCATTCAAATGCTAATTCGATTTTAATAATTTGAGTCAAGACTAAGACATTGTTTTTTTCCTGTTAGATTTTGTATTTTGTATAATGAGAAACAAATCAAGTATTTTGTTAATGATGATTGTGATTTGTGGCTGTTTTACCTTTGCAAGTTTCCATCTATTATTGGAGGTAGAAAGACCTGCATGGTTCATTGTATTTAAAGGGTATGCCTATTCATCAGTAATTATCGGTAAATGATCAGTGGTGGGCAGGTGAATTTTGTGATAGTTCTTATAATTTAAGAGAAATAACTTTTGAATAGAGTATGCAAATTAAACAAAATATTCACACATTAACTAGTCAATAACATGTAATTTATTCATTTTTTCATCAAATAGGGCAAGCCACATTGTTGAAAATAGGGGAACCAGGTTTTGACTCACCCTGTGTATGCTGCATCATTGTCGAGAAATTGTGCGTTTAGTGTGAAACTGTGAATGCAAATTTCAGAAACGTGCGTATAGTCTATTTCAATTATATATATTAAAAGTGATTTCAATTTGAATTTTAGTTTTATTTTAACCTACTAAATTAAAAGATTCGGCCCAAAAAATCACGATGCGAGTGTAGAAGAGGAGAATTTTGTACCAGGTCATGCACTGTAGATTATTAAAAAAATAACGGGTTGAGGAACCAGGTCCATCATGACCCAGGGGCCAGGGGTACAGCATTAATGTGTACATGTACTGGCATTCAATGCCCAACTGCAATGTATTGTATGTAAATCAGCTAGACGACCACCTAGGTAAATACACTAAAAGAGTCCGTGCGACAAATGTTTCTTAGGAACACATTTTGTGGAACTTTGTACCTCTCTGAAATGTATGAAAACTATTGGACATCCCTTTTTGGTTTGTTTTTTTTTGTGAAAAGTGCACTTAAAAATTTAAACCTTTCCATGCTTTTCCGGACAACTGAGGGCACTGTTGCTGTAATGTAATTTCGGGAAGACACAGTTTAGTTTAGGTTTTTCCGTTCAAATTGTGAACCAAAAATTTGCTCAACAAATTGCCCATTGCCAACATTGGCTTACTGCCATGTAATGACACAACAAGGAATCACCAAGGGAAAAAAAAACATTTACGACAGCAATATGTCCAAATCAAGCAACTTTTTGAGCTAAAATGAATGTAACATTAAGATTTCTGCTCGGAATAACATCAAAGCTTTGCTCATGAATATGGAAATTTGCATTAGCATAAAAACTAAAAGGCACCAAAATAATCATGAAAATGGCACAACGGAAATTTCAAATAGGTTAAATGGTATACACTGTATTGCAATGTATTCAAGGATTGCATTTAAAAAAAATACATTGCATTTGCCCTTTTAACTCTTAACTCGTGATGTGCATAATTATTTCCATTTTGGTATTAAATGCTCTGTGGTAAGGTAGCACAGACTACAACTGACTTGATATTGTTTCAACTGGTTTGTACGTGACGAGGCAGGACACCAGATTCTGGTTTTATCTTTAGGGTTTTTACCAAACCACGGATTCGTTTCCAGTGCGGCTTCGTGTCTGACTTGAGATTCATTTTAATGTCACAACTCATTGGAAATGTTAATTATTTTGGCTTCGCATTAGAAGATTTAACGTTGCTGAAGCAAAAAAGCAGAAAAATAGCCTGGATTTAGCCGGATTCCCCTTAGTCTCTGCAACCCGGTGGCAGTTTCATTCACAGACAGGAAAATTAACAAGTTGTACACGTACTGGTGTTCGATGCCCTAGTGCCGCGATGGATTGAATGTTAATTAGCTATACGCCCCGTAAGTAAACACAGTTATATATTAATGTTAATATTAACTGCCAGACGCCAGATGCGCCTATTCTCAAAGTATGTTAATATTGGAATTGAGAAACTTGCGTGAATAGATCAGCGCCCATGAAAACAACATTGGCATTATCAGCAGCACGTACGTCGTATATACATGGACGATAACTGATAAAGCCAAAACATAGCCAAAAATTATACGGGTATTGCTTCGGTAAAAGTCACTATATAGCAGTTCATATAATTAAAAAAAACCAGACTATCAAATAGCTTGTGAACACCTATATATCGGCACCCGATTCAACTAGCCACCGTTGTTAATAAGTGAGGCTTGTGGACGTAATACGCCAGGTTATAAACATGACCGTTATATATTACCGTATCATGTAATACAAAGGGACACGATAATAAACGAGGCGCGTGCATATTGCGTGCAGGGCTCAAGTTAATGCATACATTGTATGCGAGGAAAACTGTCGATCGGTGGCGCTTTTCAAGATGGCTACTACGAGCTAATCCGAGCAAATCGTACGAAATACATCGACTTTTTTCAACGTCCTAGTACATCACTAGTAAGCTACAAGTACAGTGAAGGTGAGTGGTGGGTGTTTGATCGTGTCTCATGACTTCTGATGTCAACCTATGTTTGTTTTGTTTCGTTTGGTCCATTTCAGTCACCGATTGACAACACATGATTGAGAAAAATAAACCACATGTGGCCTATTTACTGGACTGCCTCCGTAAACATAGGCCACACATCCACATGTACAAAAACGTGTCGCACTTTGCCAAATTTAGATTTTCACATTTATTTAGGCTTAGTTTGTAGGTTTTTTTTGCTTTAGCACGTTTAGAAGCATACTCACCCTCTTTAATATACATGTAGGCTAATCAGAAAGTGCTGCCTTTTTTCAGATGTCTACTTTTCGTGAAATTTCCAGATACATTTGTCATTTGCAAACGTTTGCGTATCACAATTTCAACATGAAAGTTCACAAAAATTAGACATCTGAAAAAGGCAGCACTTTCTGATTAACCTATAAAGAGGGTGAGAATGCTTCTAAAGCAAAAAAAACCTACAAACTAAGCCTAAATGTGAAAATCAAAATTTGGCAAAGTGCGACACGTTTTTGTGCATGTGGATGTGTGGCCTATGTTTACAGAGGCAGTCCAGTAAATAGGCCATTTTTATGGGGCTACCTCCCCACCCCCACTTATTGGTAAAGCCTGTGAAGAAATCAACCAGATAAGGAAAAACATCGTCATCACTGCCTAGTGTGTGTGTAACTGAGGAACTGAGGGAGTGAGATTTAAACTGTTAATATGAGGCCTACTTTATCGCGATCGTGAAGTGTAGGCCCCTGTTTTGTTTTGTTCAAATTAGAGTCAAAAATATTTTTTATTGCTCAAAAATCACCTTTACAATCAAAAGCAGACTTTTCTCAATCCTAATGACACCCATTTGGCAATTTTGAACAGATTCTTGGGGTAGAATTTAGTATTGTTTATTGAGAATATCGCCAACTAGCTGACTAGTTTGGTAGGTCCAATAATTTTAAAGTGGATTTTGTTCCCTTATAGGAACCAGGCCCTACACTTCACGATCACCGTTAACATGACCATGCACTTATTTTTCACAGCATATAGGGGGCCTAATTAACCCAAAAATGTGTTCCTTCCTCCATGGTCAGACCCAAGGTTTGTGAATAGCAAATGGTCAAATTTTTCCCCAGTCGAAAATACCCCTCTTAGTCTTAGTAGGGTAATGTCTGGACAAAGATACCTATTGCCATTATGTTGGTCCTGTCCAGTATTTACTTAGATGTAGATGTAGAAACTACCAGGGGTAGACGAGGGCTAGGGAAAACAACAGTTTAGGTGGCAGGTAGGGCCATTTTTTTTTCACGGCTTATGACATGTTTTGACATGGCTCTGAAAATAACTACCCCAACTCTGTCACAATCATAGTATCAATTGGAGCTGGTGTTTCCTATTCTAAATCTGACTTTTAAATCGGTGATTAGCTTGATTAGGCCAAAAAAAAAAGTCTCCGGTTTCTGGTATGCGCGTGTCGCCGTAGCCATGCGCGTCAGCAAAATGAAAAAGTTTTTTCCAATGAAAGATGATGTCTCAAACCGCCAAACTCACTGGTTTGACTGGAATCCTGCTGCTGCACAATTTTAACGTGTTTTTAGATTGGGTTATGATCGAGAATAAGCTTTATGTGGCCTCTCTGGACTCCCATATATTTTCACTAAGTTTAGTCGGGCACCATTTGCAGTCATCAGCTGACATTTGAAGCAAAAAAGTCCGGTAAAAAAAAAGCCGCGTTGCCGCACCACATTTTGGACAAGCTCCATACCAGAAACCGGAGACTTTTTTTTTGGGCCTTCGGATGATATTTGTCAAAAAATACAAAACAAGAGTTCTGCTTCCGATAACATGGCATTTGAAATTAGGTTAGGTACACAATGTACATGTAGGTAGGGACTAGGTAATGTGTTTTTTTTTTTGTTTTTGTTTTTTTGTACGATCATATGAAAGTTGCCTGCGTGTACATGTAGTCAGTCCAGGGTAAAAGTAGCCTTAGTCAAGGCGTTTGCCATTATCTGTCCATACGGTATTTGGTATTCTTGGGTCGAGACGCTCCTTGTGTTTTTATTCAACCAATGTGTAATCAACTCAAAACCATGAATCATCACGGATAGAGGGCACCATCTCCTGACCAATCGCTACCACACACAAACCGCTATCACAGCATCAGCCACGAACTGCTATCACAGTGAGCATCTCGGTGCTCTCCTATGATATCATGTGACATACATGTAAAGGTAGTGAGCTCAACATGCATACACATGTATTCAACAATGTTCATCAGACTAAGTACATGTACGAGGCTTCAACACATGCCAGCATATCTTATGTCATATGTCTGCTTGAACGTACATGTACATGTACATGTACGTGTGTTGTCTGTAAAAAAATCGTTCAGCAATGCCTTTTAGTTGTGTGCAACTGCTAGGCTATTGGTGGACAGTTTTGATGAAGTGCGGCATAGTGGTGGTAAACATGTTACTAGCAAAGCTTTTGCCGACATTTGCAACTAAATGTAAATGACTAAAATAACTTACATGTAAAAGTTGTGATGGAAATTCATTTTATCTGAAATATGGATAGTTCTGGATCCATGTTTTGAGCACTGAAAAGATGGTTGTGCAGTTCCAGCTTGATTAACATTTTGGTTTCGCAGATGCCGGAAAACCAAGAAAAACGATCATGTTTTTTTGTAGTCTGGTTCCCTGACCCCACTTAAGATAAAACGGAGCAATTTATATACGTCAGAGAATTGTAAGGACATCAGGGAATTGGTCTAGCTACGGTATCTTGTACCCGTTCACAGGTGTGTGATCGATTGCAAAGAAAGAGCGGATTAACTACATGTAAATATGATAAATTGGGAGGAGTATTTGAGAAAAAAAACTTTCTGTGAATGTGGAGGAAGAGGCTGTAAACACAAGGAAATATGCTGCGAAGAAAATAAAGCAGTGCAATGCTGGTCGGCTGACTAGTGTTGGAAATTGATTAAAAAAATAGCATTTTAGCAAAAAATAGCATGTCCAGTAATTATATTTTGTTAGATTTTGGTAGTTTTGTTTTGTGATGTTTACAAATGTTGTAGGCCCTATTATCCCTGTAAACATAAACTCTGGTTCAATAAGGGCCAAGGTTCATGTAAATGTCACTTTTGGTAATATGGTTTGAAATGTTCTCATTTTGTTTGCCAGATGCCTAAATATCGGCCAAACGTTTTTAAGCACAAAGTCACTGTTCTCTCTCGGTCATCAAAGGGAGGAAGATTTAAGCGGAAGGATGTACCCCTGAAGGACCTTTTTTCATCAGGGCCCTCAGATACCCAACAGGTACTTTTTAAAATAGTTATGAAAACTAAGAATAATAATGTAGTATAATGTTATGTACATGTTGCATTTGTAGTGCACAAATTTCACGTGATATGCTGAAATGCGCATCATAATTATTACCCCTGTTCATCATGAATGAGACTATTTTTCTGCAGCAGCTTGAGATCAGTGCAATTTGGTCTCTACCTTCACAGGTACATGTACCCATTTATACTCCTGGGTGGAGGGAGGTAATCACAGTAAAGTGTCTTGCCCAAGCGTGGAAACACAATGTTCCCGTCAGGATTCATACCCATGTACAATGTACCTTGGCAAAAGAGTGAAACGTCCACTTCGAGTTTCGAAGTAGTTATTTCTATTATAATGCACAATCAATACAACAAACGACTATTTAGGGAACATTTTTTATGGACCCCATCATGTTTGTTAAGGTAGCGTTATACATGTACTGTATTATACAAATAACGAAGGCATTCGTCCTTACTGCGCATGCGCAAAGTGAAACGGTATAACACATGGGTATAACGCATGGTCGCACCGTACATTATACCGCATAATAATATGTCACGTGATCTACAATTCACCAATCAGATGACGGGGATTTATTCAGGTGTGTATAAACATGAATAATTGAGGTTGTGTATTTAGTCGTAATGTACTTCTACATACTGAGTACTGAACCATGTTCACATTGTTCCTTGTTTTTTTTTGTACAGGTAGCTGAAAATGATTAAATAATAGCATTGAGCTGTACAATTTTTTTTTTCTTTTTCTCTACACCACCTTGATTCAGAAGCCTCAGGAAATCCAACATGAAATAAGTGTTGCTCCATGTACCTCTTCCACCTTTTCTGTGAATGTGGAGGAAGAGGCTGTAAACACGAGGAAATATGCTGCGAAGAAAATAAAGCAGTGCAATGCATGGGTAGGCAAGAGGCTCTTATTAGAGAATGCCTTCTTTGAGAGCAGTGCTCCTCATCTTCCATGCTGCTCCTGTGGGACAGATGAGGGAGACAGAGTACTGTGTCTTGACTGTGGCCCACAAGTCGTCCGCTGCATTGACTGCACAATGAGCTACCATGAAGATAGCAATCATCTCCACAAGCCGCAGTTGATTTTGGTAATTCTTATCTCTGTGATATTGCCATAGTGCAAATGTAAATTAAAATCAAGCAGAATCTATGGGACAGTTGTTATGAAACAAATATTGACTGTTATAAATTGAACCTGATGTACATACATGTAGTAAACTAGCCTACCTCGGTGATGCATGATGCATTTTATTTCCGCTCATCTTTGCCTCCGTAAATATATAATGCTTCATGTCAGTATATTTCATTTTACTTCAACTCTTAAAGCAGTCCTGATGTTGTGTGGGTGTGTGTGTTTATGGTGTAAATCAAGGACACAAGTTCAACATCATCAATGAATCGAGGACAACAGGAACCAAATGGAGGACAACGTCGATTAGAAAACGTGTACAAACCCAACGAGAGCAGTTGCAAAAAAAATTGGTGTATAAATAAAGGAAAAGGGAAGGGGAACGATAGAAATGTGGAAAATGTGTACAAAACCAATGAGAGCTGTTGCAGAAAAGTTTGTACAAACAAAGGAAAGGGAGAGGAACAAAACAAAATCCTTGATTTACACCATAAACAAACGTGACAGAATATGTGTTGGTACCGGTATGTTAAAACCTCTATACAAACTTTTGTAAATTTCATATCATTGAGTGATATTTTAGTCATCAATGTGATGTACATACAATGCCCTCTCTTACCAGGATGGAATTTTGCAACCTTTTCCTCTCAAACCTTACCTGCGGAGAGTGGACCATGACTGTGACAGTCGTTCCCGCAAGACAATCCAGGTGTTTGATGAAAAAGGTACAACTCAAGTGGTTTTTGTCTCCATTTGTGGCTTTTCTTTTTTAACATGTTTGTGTGTTTTTTATTGAGAGTCTCACATATGACTGAAAATTAAAACAAATCATTGGCAAATATTTTCTTCATGCACTTGCGTTGCAAGAGCATTGAGAGTTCACCTTCTGACACATTTGGCAGGGAACTTTTTCTTTCAACACTGCACTTACATGTGTAAATTGTGTGTCACAAACAAGAATACTGTTTCTGAAAACATTCATCGACCAAATTCAGGTATAATAAAAGAAGCAGTTCGCATACATGTATCCCCTTTATACATGTACATACACAATTCTTACATCTTTGTGTATTTTGCATTAACCATGTGTGTTATCGTAATGAATGTGATTACAATATTTGAGAACTCCATTTGAGAACTCCATTTGAGATCTCCATTTGTATGACCCTAACAGCTGAATCTCAGCAAATGCCCTCAAGAACTTTTTTTTATTTTGTTTGGTATTTTGCTCATGTTTCAGGACGACTTCACAACTGCTGGCTAGTTACATGCTCATGTGAGGAAGAATGTGCTTCTTTAGTCCGGTTAAACTTATGGCCAGCCTCACCAGACCAACCACGGGTAGCTTTTCACATGGATTTGATGAACCTACTGCATTTCCTCCTTCTAGAGGGGCATATGTCACTGAAAGGTGCATGCCAATCCTTGGGCTGTAGAAACGGACTTCCATTGCATGAGGTATGTGTGCTCCCTATGTTGGGCCGATAATGAAAACATTGGACCTGGAGTACACTGCAAAAAGTTTCATATACATGTAGGGCTTTGGCCACAATGAGTTGTTTTGATAGTGGAGACATTCTTTAGATTGTCCCCCTCTGATCTTTTCCCATAGAGTTGTGTTAGGGTACACAAATTTCAACCTGCCTTTGTCATAACTCTCACAAACTGCCAAAAACCCAACCACTACCTGTCCCGTAGCTTTTACCCCCTATAGATTAAAGTGTATAACAGTCAAAGCCCAATATGAAGTGTTTTGATGTATGTAGGTAAGCATAAATGTGTAGCGATGCCTCGGTCACTCACCAGTGCTGACCCACCACATCTATCATATGTCAATCAAGCGTGGTACCCTCAGTTAACAATACTACCACAGCCTACCAATGCATGTATGAGGCCAGTGTCACTGTTAAAACCTGATAAATGTGTATTTGGATGTGTAGAGTAATTCTTTCCAAATTGTCAGTGACAAAGAGGGAGGGTTCCATTTTCATCAGTGAATCTAAACGGTTAATGAAAAAAATGTAAGGTGTTTAATTCTTTTCGCAGGTCAATTTATTGTATCACAACTTGGTCAGTGAATGCTTTGAGGAGTACCGGTATTTTCGTTACCGGTGCCACAACCTAAATGCAGTGCTGGATGAAGACATTAAGTGCCCAGCTTGTCCAAAGGTATACCCACTGCATCTTTTGATATAAAGTACTTTTTGTTTTTAATAGAAATAGTTTGGGTTTGTTGCTGATTATGTTTAGTTGGTTAACTTCAGTCCTTTTTCTCCTTTAATTTCCAATGTTTGGTTATGTACTGTTTTTCTGCAGGAAAATGGTGACTTGTTTGTTAGTCTAGACGCCAACTTCGGTCTTGTTAGGAAGCGAAGCTCAGGCGTGAGCTACACCGATGCAAAACACAAGTCCCTCCTGTTTGCCCCGCAGGAGGACGTAGACCACTTTGTAAACGTGTACGATGACCACAATATTTCTAATGTGAGTTTACAGAATTCCAGTTCCAGATGCACGTATTACTAATAGTCGGGGTATGTCAACATGACTTGTTTTCCAAAATTAAGTACTTACCACAAGCATGACAAGTAAGTTACTTCAATGTTAGTAAGATTTGAAGCCTTGCATAGCAGTAGTGTAAACCAGTGAGAGTTTGCAGTAACACCATGTGCAGAATCTTTTCAATCTCTTTATATTGTGTGCAAGATATGTACCTTTTTCAATTACAACTATTTTTTTCCCATGGAAAATAATCATTTTTCCTTAATAAACCACATCATCTGCATCTCCTTGCAGGACTGCAGCAACTTCCAAGCCGGCGACGTTCTTCGTGCCAAAAACAAAACCAAAAAACTGGACACAACAGGTGTCTTTGGAGCGTCGTGTCGGCATGGTTTTCCCCTGTCATTTCTCAACCTGCGTCATGGAGAACGGTATGTGTAGATTCAAATAGCAACATGTAACATCTTACATGCTACTGATATGTTTTCTCTAATCAAAGTTTTCATGCCAAGTGAAGTAATGCTAAGTTACTCTACATTTTCACATGTTTGAATTCTTAGTTTCATTTGTACAATGACAACGTGACCCTAAAAAACGGTGTGCATGCAGACATCTTTAAATTTCTTAATTTCTAACGAGAGGGAAAGGACCGTGGTTTCCGGAGATAAAGAACCAAACAGGAGGCAAGATAGGCTACTGTGATATTGCATTTCAGGTTAAGTACTACGCCAAAGATGACAATTTTGTCTTTCCTATAACAGCAAAAATTAATCTCACACTTCAAAATGTTACACTGTGGTACATAAATTCCCAATGTTTTATATGGTCATAACAGTTACAACTACGTGAAGTGCAAGTGTTCTTCATTAGTTATATTACCAAATATGCTATAAACACCGCAAAAAAGATAGTCCACACTCGTTGGAGGGTTTACAATTTTAAATCTGATCTGTATATGATACTGTCATTTGTATAGACCTTTAGGAATGTTGTAAGCTATATTTTGATACCCTGCTTTCTACTAAAGACTGTAAATTGTAAAATATTGGCAATGGTTTATGAAAAACGATGCACTTTGAAAAGTTGCAAATTTAATTTCTACTTGACATTGTGAAACTGCCCAATCGAATCAAATGAGGTCATTGTCGAAAAGTGTGCTTAATAACTGTCTGTATAAATGCTCCCAGCATGCTGGGGGGGGGGGGGGGGATCGCGCATGTTCCACTTGCAGTATTTTTTTATATATTTGCATTAAACTGTTTGCATGTTTTGTGTTGTAGTATTCACTTTCATCGCCATTGTTACTCTGACAGTTCTTCGGCCTTCAAGTTGAAAATCATTACCATTCCCATTTTGTTTATCAATCTGATTTCTAGACTCGCATATGCAGCTTTCACCATAGACTGCATACTGGAGAAAGCACAACCATCCGTCAAGCTTCATGTCATCTATGATATTGCCTGTACGCTCACTGCCCACTTCAAGGTGTGTTTTTAACTATACTTTAAACTAATTGTCTGATTTGTTTTATTTTTACTGTTGTCTTTTATAAAAGGCACTGCTCGTTAGGTTTGTGAAAAATTGTAATCAGGCATGCATGTTTTCCTCGTATCTACTGATTTACTTGGGGTTTTTTTGCATCTCGTGAGTGCCTTTTTAAATTGAAAAATACTTTATAAAGTCTTATGTGGTTTGGAAATTCCTAATTTTTTCCAAATTCCCAGTTTCATGTCTGGGTAATGAACAATGTGCATCATGTTACAGGTAACAAACCATTTCATATCCCACGTGTGTGTACACTAAAAGTTTTTATGTAACTCCCTTGATTTGTCACAAAGTTTATTTGCTTGAGTTTGTCTTTGCTTTTGTAGAAAAAAAAGGACAAGAAGCTTGAGCTGGATATGGCACTCCCTGTGTTCCATGCCTATGGGCACAAAATGGCTTGCCAGGTATGAATCCCAAAGATGATTTAGTCATTGTTTGCAACAGTGATGCTCAACAGCATAGTAATCGGGGAAAAAATATGTTATACTCCTTGATTAGTGCATGGTAACTTTTTGTTGCAATTAAAATTGATTGTGAAATGTTGTCATATTTTTTCCAAGTACATGTACTATTATCACCATTATAGTTAGATGTGTTCGTGATTTAAGATCAGTAGTTGATTAATTAACAGTAGTTAATTTGTTGTTCAAGTTTGTTCTTTGAAGAGCTAATAATTTGATGTATTTTATTCTACAATCATGTAGATAACAAGTTATGGTTTTGATATTTTTCATCATTCCATCAATCTCCCTACAGGTGGCATACAGCACCAGATGGCGCTGCGGTTACGGGCTGACAGATGGGGAGGTGATGGAGAGGCTCTGGTCCTACTTAAGGCGCTTCTCATCTATAACCAAGGAGATGACACCAGCCCATAGAGAAGACCTTCTTACAGATGCTCTTCTGCATTACAGCCGTCGGAAAAGAGCTGACATTGGTATGAGAACAGTTTTGGATCAACTGCATCATCCAAAATTACCAATATATTCACCTTTAAAGTTTTGATCATATAGCTTGAATCAATACGTGGAGTAGGGTTTCTAGTTTTTTTTTAACATATAGTTGTTTTGCACATACATGATTTTCAATTTCGATGCCTGGCAGCTGTTTGAATAGGTCAATGGTTTGCAAAAAAAAATTTTCATGCCAACTACTGATATTTTTCACATCTCTCACAATGGTTTGTGTTGTATTGATGATGAGATTCGTGTTAACCCTGTCGGTTCATTCAAAATGCACACAGAGGCTTTACATAATTCTATGGAATCAGGGAATGCATTGCCTATTTGAAGGGAAAATACAACATAATTTTCAGAAATTGATGGATTTGGGAGATTAATATTTTACAGCAAATATTGTTATACTGACTTGCTTGAAGTTTTGTGTTCGTAGATTCTGGGAAAACCAAGAAAAAAAAGTTACGTTCTTAAAAAAAATTACGTTCTTGTAGTCTGGTTCCCTGAACTTGAATTGAAATGAAGCAATTTACAGATGCCAAGGAATTGTAAGGTCAGGGAACCAGTGTAGAAGGCTTGTACCTATTCAAAGATGTGAAATTGATTGCAAACAAAATTCAAACTAACTAAATATGGTAAATTGGGGGCAGTATTTGAAAAAAAGGCGCCGGTCGGCAGATCAGTGTTGGAAATTGATCCAAAAATACAACTTTTCTTGAAAATGTCAACTTTTCTTGAAAATGTCAGGACTGTCAGTCCAGTAAGGTATTCCATAATGATCTGGTATTTTTGTTTTTTGATGTTTGCAAATGTTGTATATTCCCTTTAATGTTCAAGTAAAAGGAAATGTGCTATCGCTGTCATGCATATTAGATGTTTGAAAAAATCAGAAAGGTGCTTATGGAAACTAGCGTGGGATTAGACATCGTCCGATAAATTTGACAATCAAGGAGAATTGTTTGCAACAACTTTTTACTGAACTTGAGAATATCAGCAATTACTTGTTTCTTTTTTTGTTTTTATATACATTTAGGCAGCAGCCTTGTACTTTTGATGGACAGAGCAGTTAGAGTTAAAGAGGATTCTAGCAAAGCACTTGAGGAAATATGTAGTGACTGCGCAGGTAATCTATGTCTATGAAACTTACACTTGACACAATAAAATTAAAAAGAGTGTGAAGATATATAATTGACATGAATTACATTGCAAATGACCACTTATCAACAAACAAAACTAAAATGTTGATTGGTCAATTTCCTTTCACATTATATAGATAAATACATATAATTAGGTGATACACATAGTCTCCAGTTTGATTTGTGTTTAATCTGGTACTTAAGAAATGGGTTCTGAAGAATATCATTTTTAGCAATGCATTGATACATGCAAATGCCTTGCTTTAGTTACCCCATAACATGCCTTCTGAAGTTGTTTGGTTGAATTAGCAGAATTGTTCAATTTCCTGAAATAAAGATCATACATCGTATTCTACTTTTCCAGTGTCACTTAAAGATATCAAGGATTGGAGGGAAGCAGAAAAGTGTCAAGTCGATGTCTCAAAGTCATCCACAAAAGGTATCAATCTATGTCATCACCATATTCATAGATTTCTCTGGTGGATTAATATTCTATTTTTAACCCCCAAAACAGAAACATGTAGATGTATGTACATCGCCATCATTAACAGAGTTTAAGGGCCATCAAAGTTACCCATCAGGTATACTAAATTTAAAATAACATGGATGTTGGCTTCCTCACTAAAAGTATGTTTTTGTGTAGTCTGGACTCTATTTGTTCTTTGTCTTGTGCAGGTCAAGTCCCATGGAAGGAAAAGTATGTGCAGAAACTGCTGCATTATGAACAGAGAAAGTAAGTGTTGTATTGTATGTACATCTTCAAGTGATGTACTTTGTACATGCTTGGGACTGCTATAATAGTAGTACTATAAATTAGAAAGTAAATGTCTTTAGTGTCTGTAGTATTCGAATCATCACTCTCATACTTGAAAGTAGCTTGGATGTTCAGAAGTTTTGTCAAGAAGTTAAACAGCAGATAAATCATCATGTGGTGATCAATAGAGTAATTATCAAGCTACACTACTGCCGTGTAACATGAAGTGGTTCTTGCATGTATGGCGGGTGTAGAATTTTGAAAAGAAATGAGATCCCCAAGTTGCAAGTAGCAAAGACTTTGTGTTTGAATGTTACTTGTTATTTCTCTATTTGTGTGGACCTTTATACATGTAATTATTGGTATCCTTCGTACAGCAGTTCATTTTTCTTTTATTGTGCATTTACAAGTTCCGTATTCTTCTCATTTGCACCTATTATATCAAAATTGAAGTTGTGGTCGGCAGATCATGTTCATACATGCATTCATGCATATGCACGCCTACAACTTTTTGCTGCCTTTGGCAAGGTTGGAAATAATAACAAAAGAGCAACTTAACTTTTGGAATAAGTCAACGAAATTCATTCTAGTTAATTGTAGCATGTTCCTTTTTTATTTCGTTACATAGGGAACAACTGGCACTGTGTGATGATGACACCAGGGCTGGAATGCTTGCTGGCCAATGTCAAGAGTAGGTCTTAGTGTTCATTACTTAATTTAGTTGAGAGGGTTTTTCAGTTTATGCTTACTTAGGTTATTGTATTAAAATGTTCATCCAGTATACATCGTTATCATGTCTTAGTATCACACTTGAATGATTCATGGAGGAAGGAACAAAAAAAGTCAGAACTCTAGTACTTGAAAGTGTTACCTGATCGTCACCGCCCATCTTGCCTTACAATTGTTTTTCTCAGAGGAGCAGTGACAAACCTTACTTATTATGCAGCATATAGGGAGGTTGATGGTTACCAACTAAAATGGCAGCAGTGATCATCAAGTACAAAGGGTGCTTGCAGTCATGCAATGAATGGTCCCGGCTTGTGGGCACAGTGCTTTAGCCATGGGCATTCCTGAGGGACTGGAATGTTAATAGTCAAATGTTAATAGTGCATGAGTTCTGACTCCTCCATGATTGACTAGACTACAATTTGTATAAATGTACTTGTAGTTTAACCTGCAGTACACAGATGGAGTATTTGCTGTCTGGCAATACATGTTATCAAATCATACAAATTGATTTGAAGTTTGAGGTACCTTTTGGCCCAAGATGTTATTATGATAAATATAGATTTATTGAGAAATACCTGCTGGAATTTAATTCTTTGTTTTTATTTTGTGTGTTGGCATAGTACACAATAAGTGGAGGAAATGCAAACCACCTGTATTGGTGAAAATACATTGGCATGGAAAATCCCTTTAAATGCAGTCACCTTATTTTTTTGTTTGTTCTAGAAATGTTTATTGCACAACTCAGAATGGCATTTATATTACTCACACTTGTGATGGTAAATTACATCCTAATATTTGTCTTTTTGGGAAAAGTATAACACTATATAAATTTTGAGAAATCAATTGTCATTTTCAAACAAGGTTAGATCAGGATCTGAAGACCCTCGAGCAGAGGCATGGCATCCAGCGCTGGTGCAACGACAACCCTGCCTTCATAACCCACCTGGCAGTGATGAAGGGAAAGCAGCAGGTGGCACTCATCCAAAAGCTGTGGTCACATGCTGTTGAGTACACCTTTTTTTTGGACATGTCCAAAAAGTATTCAGGTAAGGAACTCATAACATTGTTTACATATGAACGCAAAACATATCTAAAATTATAAGCCCTCATTCAAACATTCACAGACAGTTAAGAATTAAAATAATTGATTAGAGCAAGTGCATTAGACACTGTGACTCGTTAGACAGGCATGCACCTTTTCAGCTGATCAGCTGATTTCCTCTTTTTTGACCTCCCATGTGTGCCATTGAAAATACAAAAACACTTTACAAAGTCTGGGAAAAATTTGAATTTCCTCTTTTTTTGTGGTTTCCCAGTTGCATGCCTGGGTAGATAAACTCCAATTCTGCTTCATATTGTTACCCGATAATACCATACTAAATCATGTTGAGTCAAAGCATGACTGTAATCATATCCCTTTAAAGATCAATGTTGTTATTGATTTCGACCATACAGCTTATTTGATCGATCGCTTGACACAAACAGGGACCCAAGCTTAATTCTTTGATTAGAAAGGCTTTCATGAATTACTTTTCCAAATGTCATTGATTGCTGTACAGAGGGACAGTCTGTGGCCACCAGACTAAGTAAGCAGATACGGAAGTCTTCCAAAGCTTTGAGGAAACTGGTATCTGCTTACAACAGCTGTGACTTCACTACACCACCGTCGTCAACATCCCACAAAGATGTGATTGACTTGACTTCACAGCTGTACACAAACTTGACGGTGACAAAACAGGTAGAATGAGGTTTTAGTACTTTGTTTAGTTTGATTGTTTGCTGTTTGATTTACCTCGGTTTTGAATTTGTTAAGTGTTGTTTTGTGTTATTTTGATTCTTTCATTTTTATCCCCTGGCTTTTTAAACCAAAAGGGTGATATTGTGATCGTTTCTTCCTTCTGTGCGTTTGTATGCCTAGTGCGTGAGTATGTAAACACAGGCAATCACGGACTAGGGACAAAAGAGTAGGGACACAAATAAAGGGTCCACGATTGACCGTTAGTGCAAGATTGAAATTCGTGTACAAAACCAATGAGAGCTGTTGCTAAAAGTTACAGGACAGACAAAGGAATGAGGATAAGGGACAATGGGGGTCCGCGATTGCTGGTGTTTACAAATATGTGTGTGTCTGTATGTGTTATATTTTGGTTTTGTTTACTGTTTAGTGCTGTCATAAAATAAGTCTGTCTTCAAGCTCAACCAAACTTGGTGACAATAATAGTTGGGTGAAGGAGGGCTTCAGATGACCTGAGACATTTGAGTTCAGATTTCATCTAGGAGTTATACATGTGTATGAGGTCATTGGTTATGACGTTTTGGTTAGGTCAACTGAAAAGTGCTGTCATGTGAACTGTTGGACTTCAGTCTCAACCAACTGAAAAGTTAACTGAAAAGTGTGCATACTAACCAACTCTATAAATACTGCCTGTGCCAGTGTGCCTTGGTGATGAGCAAATTTCAGTTACAGTATTTCTGTCATTTTGAATAAACTTGGAAACTATGCAAGTATAATGATTGAGTTTTTGGGAGGTATTCTTGTCTCCTGCTACTAACAAAATTTTAATCTGCAGAAACCACTTTGTCCAGTACTTTCCTCTGGCCCTACTCTTTACACTTCAATGTGTTCTTTCAGATGGAAATTGGTCATGCATATTCTGCATATTACCAAATTCAGAGAGCTGACACATGTGTCATGTTAGTCGCTCTCAAACATGCACAGAGCCATGCATAATATATGGACATGTGTCCCAAAAATATTCATATCAATGCATCACTGATTCCCCTCTTCCATTTCTTTTTCCTTGGATTGAAAGGGTAGCACACCCATTCCCTCCTCAACACGGCGAAGAGCTGTCGATCTCATCAATTTGAGTGACTGGGCCAAGGAGGAGACTGCACTGGTTGAGAAGGAAATGGCTCGAGTTCTCCAATCAGTGTCAGACCGACACAACCAGTTGGTGGCACTCGTGAAAGATCTGCGCTCAGCTGAGGCTGATAGGGCTGAGGGCCTGCTGTTTTTAGTTGGGAATGCCATCCAAGAGCAAGAACAGCTGCACCTCAATCTGGAAAAGTGTTTTTCAAAATATATTCCCATATCATCTTGCACCCCATTTTTCAGGTCTACCATACTTTCAGCAATTTCTCCAGAACTTTCACCATCAGATGAGACTCCACTGTCTTCAGATTCTTCATCTGATGAAAGTGAGGATGAAGCTGTTAGTGATTGATTTCTAAACTGAGCTGATATACTGACAACTCCACAGTGGTTTAAGACCCAGACATCGGGTCCAATTTTTATTTTTAATTTTAGTAAAAAAAACCTTCGATTGGAGTCTGAAAATCAAGTTTTTAGTATAAAAAAAACTATTTTCAAATTTAATGCACTGTTTTAGAGATATAACAATTGTTATGTACATTGATGTGTGAGTTAAATGAAATAAAGGATTCATATCTTGTTGAAATATAACGTGTTTGCCAAAGCATATAAAGGCTCGTTTTCAATTTTAATATTGCTTTTAATATTGCCCATCTCATACCCATTCGAATGGTGTATAGTATGATATGGACCAATTATTGGATGACACTGAAACAAAGCATTGAAAAAATCGACTAAAATGGAACAAAATGTAATATTTTCATACATTTACGATCGCACATTTTGAAGAGTACCTTCTAGTACCCACCGTAAAATGTCATAAATTGGTAATATTTTGAATGAGTGAACATTCCTTGTCAATATTAAATCGCGGAAAATTATCGGAAATGTTCCTTTTGGCCGTACAAGACGAATTTCGGAACGGTGTTTTCGACAGAAATTCGAAAGAAATATCGCCTCGTGCGCGAAATAGCGCCCTCTGTTGATACGCATGGTCAGCAAAATCGAGCAATGCTTCCCAGTTAGTTTGTACGTCCGCATCGCGTCGTGTTTGCATACAGAGAGGAGACTTTTGCGACGAAAGCGAAGTATTTCGTGCATTTACAATAAAGTACGCATATTTACTATCGATTGCATGGATTGTAGGGTAGGTTATTGAAGAAAATTTCGCAAAAACAATGACAGAGAAACGTGGTTTTCGATTTTTTTTTTTCTTGGACAATCGACACGGGTTGCAATTTATTTTTCGGGCAAAGGAAAACACAGGGGAAAAGTAAAGACCATCTCAGCCAACCAGACGTGTTTTCCCGACCCAGGGAAACCCGATATTCAAGGACTCTGCAACCAACTCCAGACCGGAGCTGTCATTGTGATTTAAACCAGACTTCTTCAGGATTAATTGAAAATAGAGATCTTAATAATTCTTAGAATATTTTTGTTGACATCGACGGCCGTCCATTCCTTTTTGTCCTGATGGAATGTGTACCGGAAAGAGGTCAAGAGAGAGCAAAACTTTCACAGATCGTGTCGAATATGTCGATAATTCTCCGTCTGGGTTCATCTACAGAATTTGTCACGCTTTGCAAAGACACAAGCAGGATGCTCCTAGAGAAGTTTCCAAGGTTCAGATTTACGTGGTCAGTGTACCAGCTTCTCGCACATAGTGCCGAGTTGGTCGCAGCGAACAAAAGCCATGGCCTGGGAACACTTTCCGAAGAGGCGCTTGAAAATAACCCAAAAAAAACATTCGGAAGTACAGGGAACAGCTATCCAGGAAAACCACACAAGAGGACAATCTAAGTGACGTATTTCATCGTCTTTGGTTAAAAGCAGATCCAGTACTCCGCAAGTTTCCTGTCCAAAGAGTGAACACCGAAGATGACCTGTTTAATTTCTCCTTCAATAAGTCACAAATAGTACCAGCAGGTATTCCATTCAATTCACGAAGATTGAATCAATCTAATACTCAACAACTGATTACTACATTCAGCATTTTATTATGAAAGGTTTTTAAAGGACGGTAGAAATATCTTGGGGAAAATTGATTACTATTTAAGTAGTATTTTGGGTCACAAACCAACACATAATGTAAAATAATACCACAAAATCACTACATTAGAACCGTAAATTTGCAACCTAGTATAATCTTTATTTCATCCAGTAAAACAAAAATTAACGAGAAAAAAATGTGTCAATACCGCGCCGGTAATAAGCCGTATGGACGTGGGAAAAATATGAATGCAGAAATTGTCGCAAGAGGGGGCTATGCATAAGTAGCGCCCTCTTTAGAATTTTGCTCCGGATTTTTGACAAAATTGGCGAGTTACGTTTTATATAATTTCCAACCTAGTTTTCTAAACCCAGAGATGGCTTTTGAACATGCTTCGTGTGTTTTATATGAATTTTGACCGTTTATTATCCTTAAATGTACCGATGTCTGGGTCACATATGGTTTTAAACCACTGTGAACTCATCCATTTGGTTGATGTTGTGATTTTGTTATGTTTGTGTTTTTTGGTTTTAAAGGTCACTTTTGGAAGTCTTTACGCCAACATTCCAAATTCTTGTCAAAATCAGTCATATTAACTAATACAGAATTTGACCTAGCTACGTTATGTTATTTACATTGAAACTGCTTGATATAATATTCTCATTTTAATCTACTTATGCATCAAAATGATCAAACATTGATAGCAGACTGTGTCGCCAAGAAATATGTTTAATGCAAGCCCGCATTACAGAAAACAGAGCATTTTCTTATTGGTCAGTATGTCAGGGCCAAAGTATGTCTTCAACGATGCATGCTTTCTTTGAAAACACAATTACCTTCTATGCTGCAAGATATATATATGTATATATATAATGATGCCCCCTATTTTTGTACCTGTCCAGTATGACCTTTTTGTAAATAAGAACAGGTTTAATTCGCTGTCCATTGATCACAGTAATGGTGTGTTTTGCTGAACATCAACATTAATCTTTATTGTGATACGTGGAATTTTGGGGTATTTTTTACCGTGTATATGTCTAAAAGTATAATGGGAATAGGCCTAGTACATGAATGATTTGGATGAATATTTTGTTAACAGGTAGCGTATACACGTACAATGTCCTTACAAGTGCGACATGCAGAGCTTTGTTGAAAATATGGGGCTCCCTTTGGGTTTGATGATTTTTTGTCTCGTCCTCGATTTGTATTTTGAAGTACATGTATATACATGTATAAGTTAACCTTCCCTTTACTATGATTGTCTATTTTTTACGAAGAAATTAGATGTTAGCAAAGCTTGATCCAATCCTTCCAAAATCTGTGGCCGCATTGTGCTAGGATTTATGTTTTCATGAAAAGAAATTTCACACAGAATATTCTCATATCAAATATGCAATGTTCTTATATCGAATATTCATTGAAAAAAATGAATAGGCCTTTTACATGAAACCATAAATACTAGCGCAATGCAGCCATACATTGTGGACGTTTTGGAAACACGGGTTATTTTGATTGAAATCATCAGTTGAACATTGTCTTTCCTATAAAGTAGACCTACAAGTACTTTCAGAAAGACTGCAAATGTGCAGTCTATTTTAATATTATTAAGTTCAGTTTTATATAGACCAAGTATGTTTTGTTTCAATTGAATTAGGTGTATTCATGCTGAACAGGAATCCTTCAATAAGCCAAGTCAACATTTCACTCATGCATGTGCAAACTCTCACAAACAATGCATTTTTGTTTGATAAATAAAGCATGTCCAAATGTTCCGTTGTTTAAGTTAATTCACTATAACAATTAAAACTATTTATTCTCAGATGTCAAATTCATCCCTCTGCTTATCTATATGTGATTCATTATATCCTGACTGGGTGTTGCAATTAAATTTAATAATGAAACAGAAACAATTGTTCTTGAGAAATCTGTTCATGAACACGTGTGTTGCTGATGTATTGGGTACATGTACATTTTCACCTTGTATGTACAACATTTTAACAGACATTTGGGTCAATGTTCACATATTCATTTACTCAACGTGAATATGATAATGTTAAACGTTTACGGAGTATTTCTTTAGCAAGTTAGGCATATACCCGTGCGGCTATTTTATATACGAAATGTAAATAATAATTGACTTAAAATTCTTAAAGTGTCTTAACCTCTTATTTATGTCATAATTCAAGTGAACAATGCCTGGCCTTCATTTCTTATAATTGTACTGCCTTTAATGTTAACAGCTTACAAGTATCAAACAATAAGGAATTTGGATTGATAAGTTGTCATTGCTTCGGTATCAAGCTTGGTCTTCATATGAAAACAAATGTCGGAATTTCTGAGATAGTTCTGTGAATGTGAATCTCGTAATCAGGTGGTTAGTGATGTAAAGATTTAAGGACAAATACTTAATATTACGTAGAAGTTGTTATCATTTTTTTTATTTGTGAAATCAAATGAAAAAGTGCATATTAAATAGACAAATAAGGTCATCCTTTTATAGAATTATAACAAAAACCTGGGACACTCTGAGCAAACGCAGGGTTTGGCCAACTTGGCCAGCATTAATGTCCGTATATTGGTTACTTGTAGTTACTTCTTGTGCGTGCATAGTGGAAGATAACATGGAATAAAACTACTCTGCATGAAGTGATACTGGTGAACATGGCCTTAGTTTTTTAAAGTTCATTAGGTCATCGCGTCCGTAACAGTAACTATAGGATTCCCCGTAAATCAGTGTATCTACTCGTGCAAAACTGTTATTGTCAGTTACAAACTGACAAAACGAGGGGACGGAAAATGTTGCGAACAAAACCAACCGAACATCAACAAATTTGGATTTGAGATATTCAACTGGGCATTTATTTTGCCTAGCTTGATCATGTGGTCCGTTAACTCATTTATTAATTGAAGTATATCTTGCGCACGAACAGGTACCCGTCCCTGATAATCGATGGTGCCCCAGTCGACTCTGTCAACAAAGACGATACAATTATTGACTTAATTACAGTTGAAAATTTAGAATTGAAGCTCGATCGACTACATAAATTAATTATGATTTGAACATTCCCCGCTTTCAGGCTGAGCCTTGGTTCGTTCATGGTTCGTTATTTGCCAAAGTATAGAAAGTTTGGCCATTAGGCCCTATGATAAGCGCTTAGCAGGGGCGGATCTGGGGCGTGGGGGTCAACCCCCCCCCCCCCTTCCATACAAAAAAAATGCAACTAAGGCCAAAAAAAAATATTCGGTCTCTGGTCAGACCAAAGTTCCGGAATTGACGCGGCCACGCGGCTTTTTTTTTTTCTTTTGCTTTTTTTTTTTTCTTTAAGCTTCGATTGTACAGACAAGGTGGGTACTATTTTGCTTTTTTGGTGTCCTCATGTACATTGG